ATTTTTATAGATGGCCTTTTGAACAGTACTGAAAAACATGATTTGGGGGTATAAATATGTTTAAATGTGAAATTTCAGAGAGATTATTTCTTTTTTTTTTTTTTTTGAGATGGAGTTTCGCTTTTGTTGCCCAGGCTGGAGTGCAATGGCACAATCTTGGCTCACTGCAACCTCCACCTCCCAGGTTCAAGTGATTCTCCTGCCTCAGCTTCCCAAGTAGCTGGGATTACAGGCGCACACCACCACGCCCGGCTAATTTTCTATTTTTGGTAGAGACGGGGTTTCACCTGTTGGTCAAGCTGGTCTTGAACTCCCGACCTCAGGTGATCCGCCCGCCTCGGCCTCCCAAAGTGCTGGGATTATAGGCGTGAGCCACCGCACCCGGCCCAGAGAGATGATTTCAACAATCATTCCTTTCAAAGGTAAAATTGGGCTGAGCACAATGGCTCACACCTGTAATCCCAGCACTTTGGGAGGCCAAGGTGGGCAGATCACCTGAGGTTGGGAGTTCGAGACCAGCTTGACCAACATGGTGAAACCTCATCTCTACTAAAAACACAAAATTAGCCGGGCGTGGTGGTGCATGCCTGTAATCCCAGCTACTTGGGAGGCTGAGGCAGGAGAATCGCTGGAACCCTGGATGTGGAGGTTGCGGTAAGCCAATATGGCAAATTGCACTCCAGCCCTGGCAACAAGAGTGAGACTCCATCTCAAAAAAAAAGGAAATGTTTTGTTTTATATTATAAACCTAAAAATTTTAATCACTCAGGATTTTTTCAAATTTAACAATCTTTTGACAAACTATCCATAACATAAAATTTGCCAATCTAACCTTTTTTTTTTTTTTTTTTTTTTTTTTGAGAAGGAGTCTCGCTCTGTTGCCAATCGAGTTCAGTGGAGTGATCTCCGCTCCCTGCAACCTCCAACTCCTGGGTTCAAGCCATTCTCCTGCCTCAGCCTCCCGAGTAGCTGAGACTACAGGCGCATGACCACCATGCCCAGCTAATTTTTGTATTTTTAGTAGAGATGGGGTTTCACCATGTTGGCCAGGATGATCTCAATGTCTTGACCTTGTGATCCGCTCGCCTCAGCCTCCTAAAGTGCTGGGATTATAGGCATGAGCCACCACGCCCAACCTGCCTCTTTAGCCTAGGCTGGAGTGGAATAGTGCCATCTGGGCTCACTTCAACCTCCACCTCCTTGGCTCAAGCCATCCTCCCACCTCAGCCTCCCAAGTAGCTGAGACTACAGGATTGCACCACCACGACCAGCTAGATTTTTACTGTAGAGACGGGGTTTCACGATGTTCCCCAGACTGGTCTCAAACTTGCGAGCTGAATCCATCCACCCACCTCTGCCTTCCAAAGTACTCGGACTACAGGCGCTAGCCACCAGAACCAGCCCATTCTAACCATTTGGAAGTATACGGTTCAGTAGCAGTAAATACACTCACATGGTTATGCAACCATCACCACCATCCATCTCAGAACTTTCTACGATCCCTAACTGAAACTCTGTAACTATTGAACAACTCCCCTTTTCTCCTTCCCCCAGCCCCTGGCCACCACCATTCTATTCTACTTTTTGTCTCTGATTTTGCCTCCTCTAAGTCCCTTATACAAGGGGAATCATACAGTGTTTGCTTTTTTGTTACTGGTTTATTTGCAGGTAACCTAATATCTCAAGATTCATCTGTGTTGCATGTGCCAGAATTTCCTTCCTTTTTAAGGTGGAATACATCCGAGCACGGTGGCTCACGCCTGTAATCGCAGCACTTTGGGAGGCCAAGGCAAATGGATCACCTGAGGTCAGGAGTTCAAAACCAGCCTGGCCAACATGGCAAAACCCTGTCTCTACTAAAACTACAAAATTAGGGCCGTGCGTGGTGGCTCACGCCTGTAATCCCACCATTTGGGAGGCCAAGGCAGGCGGATCATGAGGTCAGGAGTTCGAGACCAGCCTGACCAACATGGTGAAACCCGGTCTCTACTCAAAATACAAAAAGTATATAGCCGGGCGTGGTGGTGCGCACCTGTAATCCCAGCTACTTAGGAGGCTGAGGCAGGAGAATTGCTTGAACCCAGGAGGTGGAGGTTGCAGTAAGCCGAAATCGCACCACTGCACTCCAGGCTGAGCAACAGAGCAAGACTCTGTCTCCAAAAAACAAAAAAACAAACAAAATTAGCCAGGTGTGGTGGCACATGCCTGTAATCCCAGCTACTCTGGGGAGGCTGAGGCAGGAGAATCGCTTGAACCCAGGAGGCGGAGGTTGCGGTGAGCCGAGATCACGCTATTGCACTCCACCCTGGGCAACAAGAATGAAACCCCGTCTCTAAATAAATAAATAAATAAATAAGCAAGCTGGGCATGATGGAGCACACCTGTAATCCCAGCTACTCGGGAGGCACAAGAATCAATGAACCTGGGAGGTAGAGGTTGCAGTGAGCCAACATCTCACCACTGCACTCCAGCCTGGGTGACAGAGAGAGACTCTGTGTGGAAAAAAAAAACTTCCTTCCTTAAGAAGATAGAATAATATTCCATCATATGGCCAGACCACATTTTGCTTATCCATTCATCTGTTGGCTATTTGGGTGTTTCCAACTTTTGGCTTAGTGAGTGTACTGCTAGCAACATGGGTATACAGCTCACCCAGGACATTTTAGAAGATTGTTAGCATTTATCTCCAAATGTTTATATTTATTTAGATGACCTTGATATGGACAACATATTCAGCTGGAAGGTAGAATACATACACAGTTTCTAAATTTTTTTTTTTTTTTTAAGACAAAGTCTTATTGCCCAGGCTGGAATGCAGTGAGTTGATCTCAGCTCACTGCAACCTTCGCCTCCCAGGTTCAAGCGATTCTCCTGCCTCAGTCTCCCAAGTAGCTGAGATTACAGGTGTGAGCCACCACACCTGGCTCATTTTTGTATTTTCAGTAGAGCCAGGTTTTCAACATGTTGGCCAGGCTGGTCTCGAACTCCCGACATGAAGTCATCGGTCCACCTCAGCCTCCCAAAGTCCTGGGATTACAGGTGGCAGCCACCGTGCCCGGCCTAAAAAATTTCATAACATCAAATTGGTAAAAATGTTCAAAACTTAATGCTCAGAATAACCAGACGTGGTGAGTTTATGGTTTATTGTACAAGCGTTTTTTCTGTTTGTTTTTTGAGACAGAGCCTCACTGTGTCACCCAGCCTGGAGTGCAGTGGCACGGTATCCGCTCACTGCAACCTCCACCTCCTGGGTTCAAGCGATTCTCCTGCCTCAGTCTCCCGAGTAGCTGGGATTACTGGCGCCCACCACCACGCCAGGCTTTTTTTTTAAATATATATACTTAGTAGAGAAGGGGTTTCACCATTTGGGCCAGGCTGGTCTTGAACTCCTGACCTTGTGATCCACCCAGCCTTGGCCTCCCAAAGTGCTGGGATTACAGGCGTGAGCCACTGCGCCCGGCCAAAGGTATTTGTTTTAATCATCTTAGGAGTTTTCTGTCATTCAGGGTCACTACAGCCCCAACCTCCCAGGCTCAAGCAATCTTCCCACCTGTGTCTGAATAGCTAGGACTAGAGGCTGACGCCCACCATACTTGCCTAATTTTTATCCTATTTTTGATAGAGTCGCTCACTTTGTTGCTGTGGCTGGTCTTGAACTCCTGGCCTTAAGCAACCCTCCTGCCTCAGCCTCGCAAAGTGTTGGGATTATAGGCATCAGCCACTGTGCCTGCAGTTTTGTTTTGTTTTTTGTTTGTCTGTTTTTGAGACAGTCTTCTCTCTCACCCAGGCTAGAGCACAATGGCGTGATCTCGGCTCACTGACATCTCCGCCTCCTGTGTTCAAGCAATTCTCCTGCCTCAGCCCCCTGAATAGCTGACTACAGGCATGTGCCACCACACACAGCTAATTTTTATATTTTTAGTAGAGATGGGGTTTCACCATGTTGACCAGGCTGGTCTCGAACTCCTGACCTTGTGATCTGCCCACCTCGGCCTCCCAAAGTGCTGGGATTACAGGCATGAGCCACCGCACCCGCCCTACAATTTTTACATCTGTAATTTTTCAACATAGCAAATGGGAAAATACACTAAGTAGATCAAATGGTAGATATAGCTCTTTTCAGCTGTGAGTGGGAGAAAAAGTTAAGGCACCTAAGGGAGATGAATAAAAATGCTAGGGTGTCTCACTTTCACAGTGAGGAGGGCTGAGCAGTCTGTTGGAGAGAGTGGCTTTTCTTTTTTTTTTTTTTTGTGAGACAGAGTCTCGCTCTCTCACCTAGGCTGGAGTGCAATGGCGCAATCTCAGCTGACTGCAACCTCTGCCGGCTGGGTTCAAATGGTTCTCCTGCCTCAGCCTCTCGAGTAGCTGGGACTATAGCCATGCACCACCACACCCGGCTACTAATTTTTTTTTGTATTATTAGTAGAGACGGGGTTTCAGTATGTTGGCCAGGCTGGTCTTGAACTCCTGACCTCAGGTGATCCACCCTCCTCGGCCTCCCAAAGTGCTGGGATTACAGGTATGAGCCACCGCGCCTGGTAGAGTCTTTTCTAAACCATGACAATTCCCTGGTAATTTAGCTTCAATTACAGTCACCTGTTAGGATTACTGTGCGCACTGTTAACGTCAACTGAATCAAATCCTCTTTCCATGACCGCTGCCTAACAAGAATCCATCTCAGCTGGCCTGGTGGCTCACGCCTGTAATCACAGCCCTTTGGGAGGCCAAGGCAGGTGGATCACCTGAGGTCAGGAGTTTGAGACCAGCCTGGCTAACACGGTGAAACCCTATCTCTACTAAAAATACAAAAATAAGGCAGGTATGGTGGTACACGCCTATAGTCCCAGCTACTCCGGAGGCTGAGGCAGGAGAAACTCTTGAACCTGGGAGACGGAGGTTGCAGTGAGCCGAAATTGTGCCACTGCACTCCAGCCTGGGCGACAGAGCAAGACTCAATCTCATTTAAAAAAAAAAAAAAAAAAAAGATCTCGCAAAATGGATCATCTCGAAAAGAAATTATTCTCATTTTACTTTAATGATTATCCAAGACCCCAGTATAAGAATTAACCCAGAAGATTTTGTTCACATTAATGGTCAGAGTATAACCCTTTAAATCTTTAAGAAACATGCCTCAGATTTCAAGTTTTGAGAGTTTTTCTTCTACTTGGTCTAGTCTATCATTGAAGCTTTTGAGTTTGCTTTGTATTTCATCCAGTGATTTCTTCAGTTTCAGAAGTATCCTTAGGTTGCTTTTAGGAATATCACTGAAGTTGGTAATTTCTTCCTGTAGAACGGTAACTACTTCCATCTTTTTTCTCTGTTCTTTTCCAAATGATGCTTGCATTATGCCCATCAACTGTATAATCTCTATGTTCAATTCTCTCTCCAAAATATCTTGTGTTTCTTTTGGATGGGGATCTGCTGCTGCAGAATTACTGGGTTCCTTTGGAGGCGGCCCATTTCCTTGCTTTTTCATGTTTTCTGTGTCCTTCCGTTGAGATCTGCGCATCCTGTGAAAGTGGCTTCTTCCAAGTTTGTGAAGTCGCTTTGTAGGGGAGGACTTCTTCCTGAAAATGTAGATAGGGTGTTGGTTAGGTGGGGCACTTTGGCTTTGACTTGGGGGTAGTACTTTAGGCTCTGTATGATTTCTTGGGTGGCTTAGGGTGTAGTTATTAGTGGAGGCTGTGGTTGCTGGGGATTAGGAGGCTAGGTGGGCCAGTCTTTGGGCCCCAGTGGTGTCCTGATCTTACCTATTCTTTAGCCCCAGTGTATGCTGGCTCTGTTATTAGCGGGTTGTGGGGAGTGATTCATGTGCCTCTAGGTGTCCTGCTCTAATGCTGGTAGTGGCAGCCACCGGCTGGGGGTGTGGCTAATCCCAGGCGCAGGGGCAGTGGATATGATGTGGGCAGTGTAGCTGCAGTTGGCGGCGGGGGTGGGGAGGGGGGACGGACGGCAACCCTCCGGGACCCAGGCGGTCCCTGCTGGTGTTGGAGGTGGCTGCTGAGGTTGGGAGGGCAGGCGAGTCCCCTGGCCTGCGGTGGTATCCGCAGGCTGGGCCCCTGACCTCAAAAACCGTCGAGGACGGGGAGGAGTGTTCAGCCGCCAACGGTAGCGGAAGAGGCCGAATAGTAACCAATCCCCAGGCCCCTGGCCCCACTGCTCAAGGCCTCAGGAGGCGAAACCGCCAGCGGACTGTACTGAGGGCCCCAGGGTTCCATGGCTAGCTAGGGCGGACAGGGAAGGACTGATCCCCAGGAAAGCTCAGGCGGGGCAGAGAAGGGAAGCGGTTGGGTCCCGCGGCGGCGGTAGGGTTGTTTGTCCTTTCGGACGTATGAAAGCGTCCGGCCTCCCCGCTCCCTCCCTGGCGGGGGCGCAGCTGCAGCTGCTCAGGGCAGGGAAGCACGTGGGCTCCTACAAGTCCGCTGGGGAATCTCTCGGCCGCTGCCCCCTATTCTGGAGGCCCGCGAGGGTCGGGGACTGTGGAAGTCCGTAGGGGGACTGCGGAGCCTAGGGGTCTCTCACTGACCCTTTCCCCGCTTGCAGGAGCTACAGGCCGTCCCCGCCGATCCGATTTCTCAGCGCAGGCTGCCTAGGTGCCTTTGCTGCGCTCCTCGGGCTCCCTGTGGCTTCTCGGCTGAATCCCGCGTTCTCTCAGCCGATCTGCCGCAAGTGCGGAAACCTACCGTCTCCTTCGGTTCCCGTCGGAGGAGAGGCGCGTGCCGGGTGCATCTACCAGGCCATCTTGAGTCTGTGGGAACGGGTCCCAATGGCGCCAGTTACTCAAGGGCGTTCCCTGGAGGGTCCGGGTCAGCCCCACCCCCTTCACTCCCGGGAAGGCCCCGCCCTCCCCTTCCAGACTGGTCCGCAAGCTCCGTGTGCACACAGGTGTGTTTGCTAATAGAAATAGGACTATTCGGCCGGGCCTTGAACCCGGGAGGCGGACGTTGTAGTGAGCCGAGATCGTGCCACTGCACTCCTACCTGGGCGACAAGAGCGAGACTGCATCTCAAAAAAAAAAAAAAAAAAAAAAATCATTTACGTTGATGTATGCGTTTTTATGGATGCTTTATTATTATTATTATTATCATTATTTTGAGATGGAATGTAACTCTGTCTTCCAGTCTGGAGTGCAGTGGCTAGATCTCGGCTCCTGCAAAGCAAAAACTCCCTCTCCAAAAAAAAGAAAGATGAATTAACATGCTAGGGTGTGGTTGGCACAGTGTGGTTCACCCCTGCAATTCCAGAACTTTCGGAGGCTGAGGCAGGGAGATCACTTTGAGTTCAGGAGTTCAAGACCAGACTAGGCAACATGGTGAAACCCCGTTTCTACAAAAAGGTACAAAAATTAGCCAGGAGGCTGGGCACAGTGGCTCAGCCCCTGTAATCCCAGCACTCTGGGAGGCCCAGGCGGGCAGATCACCTGAGGCCAGAAGTTCAAGACCAGCCTGACCAACATTGGGAAACCCCATGTCTACTAAAAATACAAAAATTAGCCGGGCGTGGTGGCGGGTGCCTGTAATCCCAGCTAATCGGGAGGCTGAGGCACGAACCTGGGAGTCAGAGGTTGCAGTGAGCCGTGATCGCACCATTGCACTCCAGCCTGGGCAACAAGAGCAAAACTCCGACCAAAAAAAAAAAAAAAAAAAAATTAGCCAGGGGTCATGGCTCATGCCTGTAGTCCCAGCTACTTGGGAGACTGAGACTGGATAATGGCATGAGCTCGGAAAATGGAGGCTGCAGTGAGATTGCACTACTGCACTCCAGCCTGGGATACAGAAAGCCCATGTCTGTAAATAAATAAATGCTCCAGTGTTTGTCAGGTTTATAGTGAGGAGGGCTGACATGTAGCTGTGTGGGCAATCTGTTAGAGACAGGAGTGGCTTTTCTTGACCATGACAATGTCCTTCAGCTACATTCACCTGTTACAATTATTGTGCCTACTGAATTCGGTACTGATCAGATTCAGTAACTGAATCAGATCATCTTTACACAACTGCTGCATGATAACTCATCTTGCAAAATCGACTATCTCTAAAGGAAATTATTTTTATTTTGCTCTAACGATTACCCAAGACCCCAGAATAACAATTAACCCAGCAGGTTTCATTCACATTAATGGCCAGTGTACAACCCATTTTCTTTAAAGTGAGAAAAATGCTTCAGATTTTGTGTCCTGAGAGTTTTTCTTCTATTTGTTCTAGTCTATCATTGAAGCTTTTGACTGTACTTTGTATTTCATCCAATGATGTCTTCAGTTCCAGAAATACTCTTCTGTTGAATTTTAAAACCTCTTTCTGGCAGGTAATCATCTCATACGTCTCCCCAACTCTTTTCCTCATTTCTTTGTGTTCTCGTTCAAAAGACTCTTCCATGTTGATGACCTTCTTTACAATCAGTCGGGTCACTTCTCTGCTCAATTCTCTGTTTGAGCTTTCCTGAATTTCTTTTGGATGGGGATCTGTTGCTGGAGAATTACTGGGTTCTTCTGTAGGCATCACATTTCCTTGCTTTTTCATGCTTCCCGGGTCCTTCCGTTGAGATCTGGGCATCTTGTGGAATAGTCACTTCTTCCAAGTTGTGAATTCACTTTGTAGGGGAGGACTTCTTCCTAAAGATGTAGATATGATGTGGTTAAGTAGGGGACCTTGGCTTTGGTTTGGGGTAGAAGTGTAGGCTCTGTACATTACTTGAGTGACTTAGTGTGTGGTTATTAGTGGAGGCTGTGCTTGCCTGTTCTTGAGCCCCAGAGCAGTGTATGCTGGCCCTGACGTTAGTGGGTTCAGGGGAGCGATTCGTAGGCCTTTTCCTGGGCCTCTAGGTGCCCTGCTGGAATGCTGGTAGTGACAGTCCCTGGCTGGGCGTGTGGCTGATCTCAGGCCCTGGGGCAGCAGGAGTGATGGGCGGGAGGGGCAAACGAGTCCCCTGGCCTGCGTGGTGGTATCGGCAGGCTGTGTCCCAGACCTCAGACCCCGGGGAGGAGTGTTCAGCCGCCAGCGGTGACGGACAAAGCCCGCAGCCACCAGTCCCCAGGCCCCTGGCCCGTGTGCTCCAGTCCTCGGGGGACGGAAATGCCAGCGGACTGTCCTCAGGCCCCCAGGGTTTGGGCTCTGGCTGTGACAGACAGGGAAGGGCTGGTCCCCAGGCTGCAGACGGAAAGCTCAGGCGGGGCAGGGCGGGCGCGCAGTTGGCTCGCGTCTGGGTCCCGCGTCAGCGGCCAGGTTATTTGTCCTTTGGGACTCCTGAGACCGCCCGGCCTCCTCTCTCCCTCCCTGGTCCTCAGCTGGCTGCGGCGGTTACCGCAGGCAAGGCAGAAGCTGCCCTCGGTGCTGGACTTTCGGGGTGGCGGGGGCTGCAGCTAAAGCTGCTCAGGGCAGGGAAGCCCGTGGGCTCCACGTGGGCTCCTGCAACGCGACTGGGAAATCTCTCGGCCGCTGGCCCCTATTCTGGAGGTCTGCGAGGGTCGGGGGCTGTGGAAGTCCGTAGGGAGACTGCGGAGCCCCGGGGTCTCTCACTCACCCTTTCCCCGCGCGCGGGAGCTACATACAGGCAGTCCCCGCCTATCCGATTTCTCCGCGCAGGCTACCTGGGTGCCTCTGCGCCGCTCCTCGGGCTCCCAGTGGCTGAATCCCGCGTTCTCTCAGCCGACCTGCTGCAAGTGTGAAAACCTCCCAGCTCCTTCGGTTCCCTTGGAGGAGAGGCGCGTGCCGGGTGCATCTACCCGGCAATCTTGAGCCAGTGGTCCTAGGTGGGAAGGGGACCCAAGTGCGCGGGTTACTCAAGGGCGTTCCCTGGAGGGTCCGGGTCTGCCCCGTCCCCTTCACTCCCGGGAAGGCCCCGCCCTCCCCTTCCAGACTGGAGCGAAAGCTCCATGGGCACACAGGTGTGTTAGCTCGTAGAAATGGGAGCAGACTATTTACACTTTTCCACAAAAGTGTGTATTTTTCACTTTTTTTTTTTTTTTTTTTTTTTTTTTTTTTTTTTTTTTTTTTGAGACGGAGATCTGGGCTTCTGTCAGGCCCAGGCTGGAGTGCTGTGGCGGATCTCAGCTCACTGCAAGCTCCGCCTCCCGGGTTTACGACATTCTCCTGCCTCAGCCTCCCGAGTAGCTGGGACTACAGACGCCCGCCACCTCGCCCAGCTAGTTTTTTGTATTTTTAGTAGAGACGGGGTTTCACCGTGTTAGCCAGGATGGTCTCGATCTCCTGACCTCGTGATCCGCCCGTCTCGGCCTCCCAAAGTACTGGGATTACAGGCTTGAGCCACCGCGCCCGGCGCATTTTTCACTTTTTATGCTGGGGATTTGTGTCAGTACTCGCAGAGCCACGTTGTTCTTTTCTTTTTTTCTTTTTCTTTTCTTTTTTTTTTTTTTTTTTTTTTGAGACAGAGTCTAGCCCTGTCGTCCCAGGCTGGAGTGCAGTCCTGTGATCTCGGCTCACCACAACCTCCGCCTCCTGGGTTCAAGCGATTCTCCTGCCTCAGCCTCCCGAATGGTTGGGAATACAGGCGCACGCCACCATGCCTGGTTAATTTTTTTGTATAATATTTTTAGTAGAGATGGGGTTTCACCATGTTGGCCAGGCTGGTCTTGAACTCCTGATCTCAAGTGAACTGCCCGCCTTGGCCTCCCAAAGTGCTGGGATTACAGGCATGAGCCACTGTGCCCAGCAGCAGAACCATTTTCTATTCCATGCTGAACAAACCAGTTTTTGCCACACATGTGTTGAGATGAAACAACTTTCTTTCTATGAGAGATGTCACAGGAGCTCATGAAACAGCCCAATCACAGGAACTCTGTAGTTCAGCATGGCTCAAGTGAGTGTGTGTATGTGAGAGGGACTGTGAATATAGGAGGGTGAATGTGTGCATGTATGTTTGCATATTTGAGCATGAGGGAGAAGATAAGGGACCAGATGGTGAAGGGTACCTCAGGCTAGGCAAGGAGTTTGGCGTATCTTACAGGCATTAATGTGCCACTGACAGATTTTTTCACTGAAAATTAATGTGGCCAGATTTTTATTTTATTTTATTTTAGAGTTTCACTCTTGTTGCCCAGGCTGGAGTGCCATGGAGCAATCTTGGCTCACCACAACCTCTGGCTCCTGGATTCAAGGGATTCTCCTGCCTCAGCCTCCCAAGTAGCTGGGATTACAGGCATGTGCCACCACACCCAGCTAATTTTGTATTTTTAGTAGAGACAGGTTTTCTCCACGTTGGTCAGGTTGGTCTCGAATTCCCAACCTTAGGTGATCTGCCTGCCTCGGCCTCCCAAAGTGCTGGGATTACAGACATGAGCCACCACCCCCAGACTTATATTATTTTATTTTTTGAGACAGAGTCTTGCTCTGTTGCCCAGGCTACCATGCAATGGCATGATCCTGGCTCATTGCAACCTCCGCCCCACGGGCTCCCAAGCAGTTATCATCCCTCAGCCTCTTGAGTTGCTGGGATTACATGTGCCCGCCATGTGCACACCTGGCTAATTTTTGTATTTTTGGGGGTTTCACCATGTTGGTCAGGCTGGTCTCGAACTCCTGACTTCAGATGATCCATGAGCCTCAGCCTCCCAAAGTGCTAGGATTACAGGCGTGAGCCACCACGCCCAGCTCCCACATTGCCTTCTCTAGGTGTCTGTCTCAGATCTCCCTCTCTCTTATACTGACACTTCTAATTGCATCTTCTAGAGCCCACTTGGATAATCCAGGGTTATCTTCCCATCTAAAGATACTTAATCGGGCCAAGTGCAGTGGCTCATGCCTGCAATCCCTACACTTTGGGAGTCTGAGGCAGGCGGATCACCTGAGGTCA